TTGGGTATTTGGGGGGGGGGGGAGGGGCGGGAGGGTTTTTCAAAAATCAAAAAGGGGGCGTGATGCCAAAAAGTTTGGGAACCACTGATGTAGATGGTGCTTGGTCCTGCTGCATGAGGACAGGGGACTGGACTTGATGGCCTCTTGAGGTTCCTTCCAGTTCTAGCGTTCTGTGATCTTTCTTGGGTTGATAATCTATCAGTAATTGGCCAATCATTAATACACGAATAACCAAGAATGGATAGAAATGGTGATGGTACGTTTAATAAATAACCTCTTAAATGTAAATTTGGAGAGCATGTCAGCTTTGAATGAATGTACTAAAGGCAAGGCAGGACATACAGAGAGGAATACAATCACCCACAACTGCAGAATGCCCTTTCTGAAGTTTCACACAGTCTGGATCTGGTTTGCCAATGGTCTTACTTCATGACATCTGAAGGAAGTGAGTGCCAGCCCATGAAAACTTATGCCCAAATAAATTCATTAGTGTTTTAAAGTGTCATAGGACTCCTCATTGTGTTTGATGAAATGACCCCTCAGATACTTATCACTTTAGTTCAGCATTTCAATCCTTATCAGTTTTCTCCCTCTGGTGTACATTTCCTCCATATAGCCTCGATTATTTCCTCAATTCCCTCATCCTTGTAATTTTCCAGTTGTTTCCACACCTACATGTTAGTCATTGTTTTAAAACTTTGACATTTGTATTCATTACATATCCAGCAAATCCGTAGGAGTTAGTACACTGGCAAAATAGATCTTATACCATATTTAACATGTCATTGGATTATTGCATTGTAAACTTTCATTCCCTGATAGACGTGGTTCTCTTAACTGCAAAGCATCATGAGACTTTTGCACCCAGATGGACTGTAAAATCTTTTCTGACCTATCTTTAAATGCCAGCATCTGTGTCCGTTCCAATTTACTTATCCCGACACATATGCCATACTTGTGTACAACCTAGCTGCTCCCTTGTTCTATTAGTACCACTCGCATGTCCCTTACGTGGCAAAACATTTAGGACTTGCAACTAATGGTTAAAACATCTGCAAACAGCACCCTCTCAGTACCTCTCCAGTCCTTATTTCAGCAGCTAGCCTAGCAACCTGTCACACGTATACTTCATACACTTGCATAGCTGCCCAGCCTTTTGGGACTTCACAAGCTAACAAGTCACACTTGGGCGTAACCAATTGCCAGTTAAATGGGGTATTTAACCGGACCCCCTCAGTGAACTGTGGGATGCACAGCTCAAAGGAGAAGTTTGGATTAGGGATGTAAAGGACTAGTCAGCTATCCGATCAGCAACTAGTCAATAGGATAGTTGACTAATCACTCCCCTGCCTTGCTGTCTCTTTCAGATAGAGGCACCAGTGGGGGAGAGGGGGAAGAGGGGTACTGAAAAGTGGCAGTCTGCTGACCTCAGGCTCCTCACTGGGGCTCTTGTATATTTCAAAGGCAGAATGCGGAAGTGCTTATCGACTAGTGGATTGAAATTCCATCCACTACTCGACTAGCAAATTAATCGCTACTTAACATCCCTAGTTTGGATGAAGGCGGCAGTGTGACCTGGGGCAGGAGCCCGGGGTGCAGGAGGGGGACAGAGGGTTGCGGGGAAGGAGGGGCTGAGGCGCCAGAGGCAGGATCTAGCTGGGAGACTGACCTGGGAACTCCTGGTCAGCAGTCCAGCATGTTTCTGAGTCAGGCTCCTTTCGGCCCCACCCACACGAGCTGCAGAGCCCATGAGTGTCTGTGAATAGCTACGAGCCTGAGAGGAAGGGGAGGGGTACTTTGTGCACTGCCGGAAACTGGTCAGTGGCATTTTGTGGGGGGAGGGGGCAGTGCACAAAGCCTCTCCCCCCCCTCCGGTCTCACAGCTGTTCAAAGACACACAGCCCCGCAGCTGCTGTTCTGAGCGGCGTGCAGGGGAGCAGGGCAGGCAGGGTGCCTGGCTGAGGTTTCCCCACTGAGGAAACCTCAATGGCTTGGGGGGCTGGATGCAGCCTGTATTTTGCCCAGCCCTGTCCTAGACACATACATTTATGTTTAGCCGTATTAACATGCATACTGTTTCCCTGTGCTCAGTCTGCAGAATAACCCCGTTCATGGTGAATCAGCGAACTGTCCTTTCCATTATTTACTACTCCCCGAATTAGCATGGTATCTGCAAACTTTATCGGCCATCATTTTATGGGTTTTTCCAGGTCATTGATAAAATTTATCGGCCATCATTTTATGGGTTTTTCCATTGATCAACATGAGCAAAGGACAGGCCTGGGCGATAAGTGGCCTGCAGGTTGGATGCAATACACCAGGCTTAACCCCTGACGGGCCGCCAGATGCTTTGTTTACCTGAGTGTATGGCCACTGGCTGCTCCCGTTGGCTGTGGTTCACCATTCCCAGCCAATGGGAGTTGCGGGAAGTGGCATGAGCCAGGCCACCCCTCACATTGAATGGTGAACCACAGCCAATGGGAGCTTTGAGCAGCCATAACTGACACTCAGCACCTGGTGGCCCACCAGGATCTAATCCTGGCCAACCGCTTATTGTCCAACCCCGGCATCGGATCAATACTCGATCTCTGCAGGAGCTGACTAGAAATACAATTGCTCAGTGACGATCCCCTGATCACAGTTATGTTTGGAGACATCTCGGTTAGCCAGGTGTTAATCCATTTCCTGAGTGCCAGGTTCAGCTTTTATAAAATAGCTCGGTCTTCACAGAACGCGGAGGAAGCCATTTTGTTCTACAAAATGGCATCTCCCCGTGTGTTCAGGGGCCAGGTGCAGTTGTCCCACGGACACAGCCCATCAGGAAGTCATATTCAGGGTTCACATGCAATGTTCCTTCTAATTTTTTTCCCATCCATATGCAGAATAAATTTTGTTATGTGCACTGAGGCATGTGCTGATGTGCACCACCCATAGAAACACACGCTGCCAGCAGTGGGTGCGGTGCTAATCAGTAGGGCAGCATTGGAATCTCTCCGCCCAAGCGCTCAGCTTACAGGGAACACTGCTCCCCTGAATTTGCAATCCACGTGTTGCATCCAGAGAGGGCATGCCATGGCTCAGCTCATAAAACCCAACTCCACTGCCTCGAAAATCCCACTAACTGCTCCTACCCAATGAAAGATCTGTTCTTCTCCATTAGTTTTGTCCTCCTGTCACTGCCTCGAAAATCCCACTAACTGCTCCGACCCAATGAAAGATCTGTTCTTCTCTTCATCAGTTTGTCCTCCTTCCACCTTCGTAAATACTACCCACCCCTCCACCTTGAAGTCTTGTGTTTTAGAATAAGCGTGGGTTGAGAAACGTCTCACTGGAATTCAAAAAAATACCACTCCACTGGTTTCCATCTTAGTGATTATCGAGCTATTTAATCGAAAGCTGCACTTGCTGTACTCTGTTCCTCGCTCACACGTGGTGGTTTGCTAAGTGTTGCACAAGGTAAAATTTTTGATTGAAGCCTTTCCCACATTCCATACATTTATGAGGCTTCTCTTCCTGGTGCGTGAAGTGATGCTGGGAGAGGGTGAACTTTTGACTAAAGCTTTTCCCACACAGGGTGCATGTATAGGGTTTCTCCCCGGTGTGGATTCTTTGGTGCTTCTGGAGGGATTCTTTCCGTCCAAAGCTTTGCCCGCATTCAGTGCATTTGAAGGGTTTGGCTCCGATGTGGGTTTTACGGTGAGTGCAAAGGACCCCCTTCAGCCTGAAGCTTTTGTTGCAGTCGGGACACTGATAGGCCTTCTCGCCCGTGTGGATTGTCTGATGCGAAGCAAGGTGCAAATACTCTCTGAATTTTCTCCCACACTCCGTGCAGCTGTAGTTCTTCTCCTCTCTGTGAATTCTCTCGTGCCGGCTGAGTAACGATTTGCAGGTAAAGCTCTTTCCGCAGTCGGCGCAGACATGGGGCCTGTCCCCCGTGTGCTTTTTCTGATGCCATCGGAGGTGGGAGTTGTGGTAATAGCTTTTCCCACACTCGGCACAGCTGTAACGTCTCTGTCTGGAGCCAGCTGTTTGACACGCTGCTGAGCTGCCACTGTAACTTTTCATGTTGCTGCGACTTGTATTCAGTTGTGCTCCCGTACTGGTGCCCTGCAGGGTGAAGGTGCAGTTCAATTTCTTGGAAATGTTTTTACATTGAATAGATTTGCAGCCTCTCCCCCCATAGGGCACCCATGCGGCTTGGGTGTGGCTCCCTCGCTTTCAAGGCCTTCACCCCACTCAAGACCCTGGGGACTCCCCGAGAACGCCCTGTCCCGCTCCGCTAGCCCTTCCTTTGGGGGTTTCCTGTCCCTGTTCTCCCTCCCGATCCCATCACTAAACCCTCTAGATGGGTCTCCGGTGCTCAATAAGTGTGTGTGTGTGTGTGTGTGTGTGTGTGTGTGTCTCTCTCTCTCTCTCTCTCTCTCTCTCTCCTCTCCTCTCCTCTCCTCTCCCCTTCCCTTCCCTTTTATGGGGTGTCTCCGACTTGTGCACTGTGTGACCATGCAGAATGAGGCTTGTCTCGCGTCGGAAACTTTGCATCGATAGGGTCTCTCCCCCATGTGAGTGCTCAGGTGTGTCCGAAGGGATTCTCGGCAAGAAAACCTTCTGCCACACTCAGCACACTTGCAGGGATGTGCTGCCTCACTAATAAGCTGCCAGCGCTGCAGGAGGCGCGAGCGTTTACCGAAACCTTCCCCCGTTCACTGAGTGTATTTAGCGTTTCCCTCACATGGGTTACTTGGTGCGAGCCAGCGTCCTTGGATTTCCTCAAGCCTCTTTTACTGTGGGCGGATTTACTCCTGCCTGGAGGGTTTCCCCTCTGTCGTCCCACCTCGCCCTCACTCTCGCTGGCGCCTGCCCCGTCGGGGCACCGTGGTCTTCTTGAGAACATCTTATGCAGAGTCACCTCCACAGCCCCTTCCTCCTGGGGACTCTCCTCCTCGATTTCATGGGCCGTCCCGGTACCTGTTGGGAGAGAAAGTCCAGATGGGACTGACTCCCTGTACAGAAGGGCCAAGCAAAGGGATCTATCGCTGATGACCGAACCTGATGGTCCGTAAGTGAATCCCCTCCCCCACCCAATCTTTCCACAGAGGGGAGAGGAGAGGCCAGTTCTACCTCAAACTCTCACCTCAACGGTAAGAAAAAGACTGAGGGAGGAGAAGGGTTTTTTCCAGGGCTCAGGCTCTACCCTCTGGGATGGAGGGATTCTCAGTGGGTGTCACCCGTTCCTCACCTGTGATACTGCCTCTTGGGATTTCCCTTCCCTCATAGCGCTGGAGATCTGGGATCCATGGCTCTTCCCCTCGCTCCATCCGGGACAGCGCATCTGGCATCGGGATGGGAAATCCTGCACGTTGGAAAAAGGTACCTGCATCACAGGGAGCTGAGTATTCGTCAGACATCTAACTACAAAGAACATTATGAGAAGCAATTCCATTTTAGGCACAGCCTGTTTTCCTGGCACCACCAACCCCTGACTTTCCTTTCAGTCATGATAAGAGGAAGCTGCACACCAAGGTTGGGGGTCCTAGCTCTTACCATTTAGGAGGAGTTCTTGTGCAAACAGAGACATTTACAGACAGACAAATTCTAAAATACATAGTAGATTTGGGTCAGTCTCCATGATGAAGACTAGAACAGCTGCTCACCTAACGAGAGGAGAGTCTCATAGTTCTCCTGCATGACATCCCTGTAGAGTTGCCTCTGCTCTTCATCCAAAATAGCCCACTCCGCTTCAGAGAAGTACACGGCCACCTCTTCAAACGTCACCGGCATCTGAAATGACAGGTGTCTGCACTCAGCACCTGCCTGCTCTGGCCACAAGCCCACCACTCGGGCACAAGGAGCAGCAAAGGGCAGTGCCATCACTGTGGGTGCAGCATTGGAGGAGGAGAAAGAATCCATTCCCCACTATCCCAACCTCCTCCACCCAGCAGGGGATGCCACACTCAGCCTGCCCCCAAAGCTCCCATCCCTACAGAGCTCCTAACCCCAGCCCAGGCCACAGACGCCGGCCCCTGCTGCCGCAAGGGAGCCCCTCTGACATGTTGTTCCCACGGTAGTCCCAGCCGTCAGTCACGGGATGAATGGCCAGAGGCGTGGCCAACTGGAGTGGCATGCAGTGAGCTATACTGGGCTGGTGGGAGCTCCACATGCACATGGCCCCTCCCAAATAAAGGGGTGTGATAAGGGGAAAGAAGCAAAGCTGGACAGACTATTGAGTGATGGAGGAGCGGGCATTTGACAGGAGGAATGAGCGAGGCCAGACAAGGAGGCGCAGCAGAGACTGTTTCACACTCACCATAAAGCCGAACCTACGGAGCGAGGCCACCACTTCCTGGCCTCCTTCACTCCCTTTGTCATAAGGAACAAGCAAATAAGGCGCAGGGAGATCTAAAGGAAAATAAAGATACTGTTGGAGGCACCCACACAGATACATACAAGCCTCACAGTTCTCACAGGAACAGGAATCCACCCCCATTTCACACGTCGCTCGGCAACCGAATGCTGTTCCGATGGTTTCAAACAGGCTGCCTCGGGGACACCCTTCCCAAGACCACATACAACTTATTACCCAGTTGCCGTGGACACAACCGATTCACTCTCAAGTCACAGCTCAGCTCTGGTCCTGGGTGGAGGAACCTCTGTGACATTTCACCAGAGGGAGGCTCCATC